GATGGATGGATGGATGATGATGGATGGATGGATGGATGGATGGATGGATGGATGGATGGATGATGGATGGATGGATGATGATGGATGGATGATGAATAGATGGATGAATAGATGGATGGATGAATAGATGGGTGGATGGATGGACAGTGGTGTTTGTTGGTGGCACAGAGGTAGGATAAGCTGCTCCTTCCACTGACTGTGACACAGTAACACAAACACACCTGTGTGAATCAGCTTCTGTCTGACCTCACGCTGTCATGGAAACACACATCAAACAGCAGGAGAGAGGCTGAGTCTGCAGGTAGCACACACACACACACACACACACACACACACACACACACACACACACACACACACACACACACACACACAGTAGCTGCAGAGCTGTCAGTCACAGGTGTTTTCATGCTTCAGGTTACTCGATCACTGAGACCATCACAGTGCCGGGTTCACGGACCAAACACTCGCGGGGTGGAGGAAGTCCTCGGATCCTCGCTTTGGCAGCGAGCCTGATGAGTCAGTCACCCCCAGCTCAGTGTTTTTCCACACAAAGGTTAGAGGTGTGCAGGGCCATGCTGCGGTTTTCATCCAAACCACAGCCTTTTGTTCAGCCTAAGAGGAGCTTTTAGTCTAACCCTAACCAGCCGGTTAAGTAAACACTTAAAGTGGAAAAAAGTGAAACAAAGATCTCTTCACCTGTGAGACTGTCACTACTGACTCCACCACAGCATCCAGGCACTGAATACAGCGCCTACTAACAGTCGGAATAGAACTTTGAGCCAGGAAACGTGCAAAATATAGACGTGAAGAGGTGAGTGAGGTGAAACTCTGCTTTTCATGCGTCCTCTCACAAACCTGCTGGTGTGGATGTTGTTGGTGAATGAAACACATCTGTCAGCTGGAGCAGCTGAAAGTGTTTTTACTGTGGCTGATTATGAACACACTGTCACTCCAAACACACTCGTCGATGCTTTTTTATCAGCCTTGTAGCACTAGCAGCTGAAAATGAGCCTGTACAGCTCTCTCCCAAACTGCAGGGGGCGCTGTGCTGTGGCAGGTTTGTCTCCTCACCATAAGTGTAAACTGGTCCCTGTTGGTCCGGCTGGAAGGGGGTGGTCTTCAGGACCTGAGGGATGGACAGCTCAGTCAGAGCGGGGTCGGGGGAGGGACACAGTCTGGGCGTGGCGTCCGAACCGGGTAGCAGCACCAGCTGCCGCAGTAAACCCTGAAGAAGAGACAGAGCGGTGAGAACCAGCAGGACGGACAGTTGGCTGATCTGACCCTGATCAGAGACTCACGGAGAAGCGTCCCCTCCACCGCCCCCTGCTCCCGACGAAGAACCGGGACCCTCTGGTGCTCAGATGGCTGGGGAAGGACTGGACCTGTTTACTGGGGGACAAGAAACCACTTAATGCCATGAAGTGGATCTCTACTGGTCTCTATTGGTCTATGTGGTGTCAGCTCTCACAGCTCCAGAGGAAGTCCACAGTCGACAGTCAGCGTGGCGTACGGCCCGGTGACAGCCAGCACCACTGTGTGCCAGCGGTTATTGTCCAATCCAACGTCCTTAAAAGTCATTCGGCTCCGCCCACCAGGGCCAGGGGATGTGGTCAAGAAGTGGAGGCGGTTCTCAGACACTCGTAACCCCAGCAACAGCGAATCAGATCCCTCCCTCACCACAGAGAAGATGTACTCATTTGTCTGGAAGCAGAGAGAGAAAGAACACATTGGACTGGAACAAACTCGTCCAGAGTGGGCTGAACTGGGCCAGACTGATCCAAACTGGACCAGACTGGGCTGAACTGGACCAGACTCATCCAAACTGGACAGACTGGGCTGAACTGGACCAGACTGATCCAAGTTGGACCTAACTGCACCAAATTGGACCAAACTGGACCAGACTGGGCTGAACTGGACCAGACTGATCCAAGTTGGACCTAACTGCACCAAATTGGAACAAACTCGTCCAGAGTGGGCTGAACTGGACCAGACTGATCCAAACTGGACCAGACTGGACCAGATCCAGCTCCATTCCACTGCATCACCTTCTGTCTCAGTGTCTGAATCTTCACCGTGGCAACCAATGAGAACTCAGAGGGAAAGTAGTAACAGTTGGTGAAGATCTGGGAGGCGGGGAAATTCAGAGGTGCTGCCACGGCGCTGGCCAATCGGAGACCTCTGGAACCTTTGGACTGAACCATCCGCACCTGGAGGGATAGCGGATGAAATATTAGGGGTAGCTACCATCATAAATGTTCATACCTTCATGCTATCCTGTGTCTTACCTGAGTGGGCGTGGCATGTCCTGGGGGGGGCAGGGCTTTGGACAACAGGTCAAGAGGCAGCAGGTCTGAGGGGGAGAGAGCAGAGACGGGGTGAAATAAATCAAATAAGTTATTAATAATTTAGATTTTCTGAACCGTAAATCTGCTTCCTGTTGTTCTGCTAACCTCTCCTGCAGCCCCAGCAGTGAAACGCCACCAAGCAGACCATCATCAGACTCTATGAGTGTAACCCTAACGCCACTGACCCCACCGAAACTTCAGTGAAAACAAAGCATGGTTTACTGGAGCCCGATTTCCACCGCAGAGTTACACTGAACCAGCTGTATGTAGCTCGATTTAAATCACCGCAGGGACACATAAGCAGCGATCCAGGTTAGACAGTTTATCTCCTGCTGCTAATTTCAGATCCCTGAAAGCTGATTTTCATGAAAGCAGCGGCTAGTGAGGCGAGTTTATCAGCTCAGAGCTCATTTCCTCCAGCTCTGACTGATAAGTGTATCTGCAGTTAATCTGTATCAGCGATGACATGTAAATGATCTCAGATCAGTTTATTTTTATCCCCTCAGAGACGGATGTTTCTACGTCTGAAACCTCAGACCTGATCTTAAAAAAAAGCTCAAGCTTTTCAGCTTCCTGCCGAGCAGTCACAGATTTCTGCTCTGACTCTGATGAGGCTCGAGTAAATCATTAAAACATTAAAAATCAGTGTTAGACAGCGGCTGAGGGAGCAGAGACAGCATCAGGTCAACGTTAGTTTTCAGCTGGAATTCCCCTTTAAGCTCCTCTGAGGCCGTCTGTGTGTTTTGTTGCGCTTGAGGATCAATGTAAGATGAATGGAGGATGAATGGAGGATGAATGGAGGGAGGGGACGACATGTACAGAAACAGATCTCACATTTCAAAGACTGAAAACACAGAAGAACAAAGCAGCGAAAGCGTCTGAAACACAGCGAGACGTCAGAGTCGGAGCTGCAAGGCCTTCTCTGACATTTGGCATCAGTGAAGTCAGCGACAGGACACACCTCAGGGGTCAGAGTTCACAATACTCAACCCCAGGAAGGCTGCTCACAAAGCCCAGGAGCCAAACGCAGTTTCAGTTGCCGGAATGAATCAGCTTGTAGCAAAGAGAAAGATCAACAGTAATGTCATCAAAAGGAAACATGAAGTAAAGCTGTGTACTCAGCTCTTTAACCAGAACAGAAAGACAGGTGGGAACACCTGAAAGTTCCTCAACTGAAAGCTCCACTGAATAATGCCCAGAAACACGTGATAGAGAGGACCAGGGGTCGGTTTAAACTGTGACAACGGAACAAACGTTATCCTCATGTTTTCCATCGTTACGCGACCCTCCTAACCCCACACCAGTCTGGTGACTGGATGTGTTTGGGGGCCTGTCCAGGATCTTCAGCACAACAGAACAACTTGAACAAGCAAGTCATGAATTAAAACTTCCTGTTAGGAGACAACAAAGCTTTCAGCACAATGTCTGTCAGTAGTAATATATAAAAAACAAGCTCAAACCTTTATTTATCCAGTCTCACAAGCAAAAGTCTCTCTTATTTTTGTGCAGATTTTGTGTTTTGTTCTTCAGAAATGAATCTGATCTCCTTCTGAAACATGTGACTGTCCCTTTAGAGCTGAAACCAGCACTGCACACTGTATCTCCTCGTACCTGTACAGGGTCTCCAGCTGTGGCTCTGGACTCTGGCGGTGAGCAGCACCCAGGTGAGCAGCAGGAAGTGACACGAAAACATCACGCCTGTGCGCTGTGAACAGTTTGACTCCCGCTCACCGACCCGCTTCCTGTCCTGCGTCTCTCAACGTCATTCTCCAGTTGGCCTGAGGATCTCCTGGGCGGTGTTTCTTCAGCGTCTGTGGTCAAAGAGCAACACGACAAACGTCTCAGATTTGGTTCCTTACAGCGGCGTGTCCAACATTTCCACCCGGAGAACCCAGATGGCCGTCTTGCCAATTCTTCATGAACGCCACCAAGTTCATTTGTGTTCACATAACCTGGCTTCAAACCAGCAAACTGTCTCTTTATCTGTAACTACAGCTCAGCTTTCAGTTTAAAGCTGATCGTCCTGAAATAAAACTGCTAGCTTTATTTTTAGCTAATAATTTATTCTCTTTATTCATATTTGAGGTATTGCAGCTGTATATCTAACAGTCATTTTAACTGCCAGCCATATTTGCTGTGGTAGACATAGTGAAACATTTAATTTGTGGCCTTAATGGTTCAGCAGTTTTTGACTGTCAGCCGTACTTTCACATTACATTTCACTTTGTTTCTTATCTGTCATTTTCAGTTAACTTTTAGTTAACTGCCTGTTTAAAATCATTTCTGTGGTTACGGCAGAAGGACCCTTGGTGGGACTCTCCATGTTACACCTGCACCAGGTGCGATTTTCACAGCACTACAGACTGGTTTAAATTGGTTTAATAAATGATGCTGAACATACAAAACTCGAGTAACGTGCAAACCTGTGGCTGAGAAATATCACACTGTGTAATTTTACCATCAGACTGCACTATCAACACTTCACGCGGTCACATTGATCACAAAACGATTAAACGATGAGCCAAAGATAAGAACAGCTGCTAAAGATAAAATCATGTGAACTCGTTTCGTTTCTCCCCGTCGTGTAACGAAGCTCGTCTCCTGAACACTAACCTGCTAACATGAGCGTCTGGCCCACATTTGAATCACATGAGAATCTGTGAGAGGAAAACAAAGATGCAAAAGCTTTGATGCACAGTGACGTCATATCTGAGCAAACCTGGGTCAGAGGTCAGAGGTTTAACCAGCCTCCTGAGGTCCAGCTCCAGTCCTAGTCTGTGAAGAGGTTTCAGGACATGCGAGGAGACCTCTGACTTGAGCACAGGTAAGAAGAGGCGGTGAGAGGAGCTCAGAGTGGGGAGGTCTGGCGTGCTGTGACCTCACAGACGTACAGTCTCTGCTCTACCTGTCGGCCGTCCTTAAACCGTCCTCTTCGTCTTTGCTGGACATTTATCTGTTCTTCAGAGAAACCAAAAACACAACCAGGCTCATCATCAGTCCACCTTTAAAAGTGTTCTCAGTGTCTGAGATGAACCTGATGATCTTCAGCGTGTCTCCACCTTCAGGTGCAGACCTCCACCTGTTTCCTCCTCTTTAAGTCCTCCACAGTTTCTCCTTTCCTTCCTCTGAGGCTGCTGTCTGTGCAGCGACTGGAGATGATTTTCAGCTTCAGGTGAGTATGACTGAGGAGAGAGAGAATTTACCTGCAGGTGAGCTGGCCTCGCTCGCCCCACATTTAAATAAAAAAGACTGGGAGGGGCTGAGGAGCGAGAGGGAGGGAGGGGCGGCTGCCTCCTCTTTACCTGTGACACACTTGAACTCACCTGAAGACAAACCTGACAGACAAAGCTGGACAGAGTCCACCTGAGAGGACAGGTGAGTGTTTCATGCAGGTGAAAGGTGTGATTGGTGGAGAGGTTTCTGCACGTTGCTGCTGCAGGTTGGTTCACATGTTACTGGTCAGAGCAGCTGACACATTTCGCTGCCTCGGTGATCAGATATGATCACTTCCTGTCGGCGACCATGACGCTGATCAGACCAGCCAATGGGTGACCGCACGCTGTGCTAGTCCATCTTTTATATACAGTCAGTCTGTGTTAAACTGATAAGCCCGACCGATATCAGATTTTTAACAGCGATACTGATATTCGGTGATTTAAAGCCAATATTCAGACATTTCGGCCGATATTTGTCACTCTTTTCGTCCTCCTCGTTCCTCGTTTTTACCCTCTGCCCAGGTCGGATCAGCTGTTTGCTGTTTGTGACGTTTCAAACATAAACATGGAAGATGCAGAGCGCCCTCTGGTGGACAAATGATGTAAGGTTAAAGGGTGTTTCTGTTGTCTCATGTATCGTCTGTGACGAGCTGAAACTAACAGAGCAGCAAATAATAATCTGAGCTCTCCATGAATTTGGTGCGGCTCTAAAAATGACGTCATATCGAATTCTTATTATTTTGTGTGTCTCGTGCTGTGCAGCAGTCTGGGTTTGGGCTTGTCAGTCAGGTGTTGTACTAATAAAGTTTGATTATTCCTTCCTACACTGAAACTGTAAATATGAACGATCAGCTGCAGAGTTCGGTCCATGTTTCATATGATGTGAGGTTCCTGCACACGTGCTGCCTGAGAGGAGGAGGAGGAAGAGAAGAAGAAGTGACTGATCTCAAGTCTGCGGCTCGCCCTCAGCTCTTCACAGCACAGGAATTTCCCAGGTGAGCCAGGGCTCCGCCCCTTGCCTGTCTGACCCACTCCCTGAAATCAGGTGCCATCAGACCTGAGGCTGCACACACACACACACACACACACACACACACACACACACACACACACACACACACACAAAAGTACTGCATTCAATGCCAAAAGTACACAGGTATGATCAAAATAAACAGAGATTATTAGAGATTATATTTACCTCCATCATTATTGCTCAGTCTCATGGTTCTGGCCAGTCGTTTCCAGTGAAAATCCTGTAGTTCCTCTGACACCCAGCAGGGGCAGCAGGGAGTCAGTCTCCATAGACAAAGTGTTCTAGTCTCTAGTTTCACCTTCCTAACACAACAAGTGGGGAGGATGTTTCATTCAAAGAGTAAATTATTAAATTTTTAGGGGCCTGTTTGATTGATGGTGACGCTGTAGCTGCTCGCTGTCTGCTAGGCTACACCTCAGCTAACTGCCCTGATGTGGGTCTCTGGACTGTGTTTGTGCTGTTGGAGTACTTTAATGACATCATCTGAAGAAACTAGCTAGCATCAGCTAATAACTCAGTGCTCTGCCCTCTCTTCACACCTGGCTCCAAAACCTCAACACAGTTCAAAATGGTTCAAATGAAAAGTGTCCAGATCCAGTCATGGTGGTCCCAGTTCCTGTCCCTGTGACTCTGAGATGGTACGACGCGAGCATGTGGAGGCGGACACGATATCACTCAAATTAAAATCAGGTGTTTGCCCACCGAACCCCGTACCTCCACAGGTAAACCAGAAGTCAGTGTTTGCTGTGAGGGGCGAGTGCTGGGAGCTGCACAGTGTACTCAGACATGAAAAGCAGCTGTGATCTGAGAGACGTTTAAAGCCCAGTAATCCCAGTTTAAACGTGAGCCTGGATCCAGGCCAGCAGGCAGAGACACGAATGAACCCACAGAGACCGAGCTGCAGGTTCACAGGTGGAAGCAGAGTTCCACACCTTTACCTGTGTCTGCCCTCAGTACAGGTACAACACAGACTGTATATACAATCATCCAGGAAGCTCATCAAATGTTATGATAACCAGTATAAACAGGATTTCCATTTAAATGCATATAAAAGAGCCACAAAAATATAGAAAACAGGCAAAATGAACTCAGAGGAGCGCCGCACGCAGCGTGGACTCTTCAGAGTGGACCCATCTGAACGGAATCAGGTGAGACACGCTTGCATTTACCTGCCGACTGAACACAGGTGAGCTTCTGCTGCTCTACCTGTGCAGGTTGGTGTCGTCAGGAAAAGAATCAGTGAAAATATCCGAGAGAGCGCCCCCATCAGGACGCTGTGACCTCTCACCTCAGATCCAAGATTCAAGAAGTTTGTCATATACACTGCAAAACACAAGTGGATACACCGAGCGACGAGACTCTTACTTTGCAACTAAAATAAGAATAAACTTAACTCTGAGTTAGAAATAATATATAGAGTAAAACAAGTGCCGATGCATCTCGTGTGTGTGTGGAGTCAGAATTTAAAGTGCAAGTAGTTGTAACACAGAATAATGCTATAGTAAAACGTTTATGTTGTGTGAAGTTCTATTATGCTGTATATAAATGTAAAAACTTGCAGGTCAAAGGTCATCACAGTTCGAGTCAGTGATTCTGTAAGATGGGCTGATCAGCACAGCTCGCTCTCACATCACAGTTTGTTTCAGGGAGGCGAAGGTTTTACTGCCAACAAGGTTCAAACCCTGAACAGAGTCCTCGCAAA